GCGGTGCATTCAGTTGAAGGATATCATAAACGATAAATTTATTAGAGTACTTACTACTGTATTTTGCAAATGAATTTATTTCGCCCATTGCGCACAATTGGGGGTTCAAGCGGAACATAGGATTTGATGGAAACTCAGTCATCAGTTTATTCGCTAACTCTGAGGAATGATTGAAGCAACTATCGAACAGTTTCCAGAACCTTCATGCGTAGTGTTCTGTCAAGCAAAAGCACTCCTTAGAAATATGGCAATCATAATTTAGCCGGTTTTCATCGACTTATCGGTAGTATCACACGGAAGCATTTTACTTACCAAGCTTCGTCGAGTCGTCACAACTGTGCGAACGACTAGTCTCTAGATTTTTAGGTGTTGCATTCCGTTTAATTACATAAGTGGCACTAAGTAGATAACTGACATCGAGCGTCAATCAGCTGACGAAATGTCCCCCCTGAGAGCCCTTATTAGGAGTGCTCTCTTGGGGAGCATAGGTTTGGACTGTACTTAGGTTCCATTTTTTTCATGCAATCGAAACAGAGACCGAATGATTTGAAGGAAAATACATTAGGAAGTTGCCACCCTGAAGAACAGTCAACGGGACAAAAATCTAGCATCCCTATAATCGCATTGTTGAGTCAGTTTCACGAGAGTGAGAGCAAGCATCCCAAGAACAATCAGACCGTCTTTAAAATGCGCTTCCGACCCAGGTACTTTGACTTACTGTATTCTTGCGAAAGTCGACTTCGTTAACTGCTTACGACGTGCCGTAAGCTTGGGGAGGAACACTTCTCAAAACAGCCTTATTCAGTGCTGAGTGAGATGGTGCCTCAAGGCCGCCTAACCAGAGTTATGCACGTTGAAAAGTGTGTCCAGCACCAAAAGCTGTGTTGATTAAACCATGTGTTGCATATGCCGAACCATCGTTCGCCGGAGACTGGTGTTTTCCGTGCCCAGTTCAGAGTGAAGGAAGCAGAGGTAACTAACCCTTGACATGGCAGAAGAGTGTGAAAGATATTACGAGTCCGGGTACCGTCGGTGCTACTCTCCTCCCATGAAGGGGACAGCGTAATCCCCACTGCGTCTGGTTGGAGACGCTGAGATAACTGCTAATCATTGACAGCGGTGGCCTTTGAGGTCAACGTGTAGTGGAAAGCCGATAAGCGCGGAACTGATAGATGAAAGTTTGAACACTGTTATTCAACTACGAATACGATGGTCTCTGAAGGAGGCTGATTCACTAGTAGACAAACGACGGCAGAAATCCCATGTAGGGAAACACCAAACTTGGGCCTGCCTTATTGAATTCTCAAGCTGGTCGCGCTGGGAACCAACAAAACTGATTGTAATCGATGGTAGCCCTGAACGTGTACAACCCGAAATTTCACTATTTCACCACGCATTATGGAACCCACCTCGTTTTGTTCAGTCATAACGAGCGAAACAATGAAGGCCCAACTCGCTGTTATTGGAGTCCACAAGCACTGCGAATGCCTCGTGTACATTGGTGGTTCGTCCAGTTTTAAGGGCAAACTATCGATTCCGACTAATGAAAGTACATGTGTACAGTATAGTGCTCCCTGCTAAAGAAAGCACAATAAACTATTTTTGTGGCGCAGATCGATGAACCATACCGACAATAGCTGAAAAGATACTTTCGTGAACCCTGGATGACTGACTTACTCCCTGAGAGGAAATCTATCTTACCACTTACGCAGCGTTAACGATGTTTGGGTCATTTCGATCCGTTTCCGAGGTTTACACGACCCAACTAACGTTTGTCGGTTCGCATCTACATTCTTCAACATGTGTCCCGACCTCTGCTTCCCGACTTTCCCTGTCCAGGCTTGGGCAACCTGGCCGTATCCCAGCCCTCTTATTTCCTTCTGGTTGCATGACAGTTGGGCACCGAGGGTACTACAGCTGAACCATTCAACAAGGGTGTCTGTCATCATCATCATCATCAATGACAGCAACATCAGTGCGGGCACTGATGCTTCACTGCCGTGAAAATCACATTTATTACTTAGACTTATCTGAAGACAAGCGGCGCCTCTCGGGTTGATTTCCACCCGACCTTGGACAATTCATTACACTCAGTCAAATCCGCATTTTGTGCACACGAACATGTAATTTCGCAGGACTAGACTTTCTGCTTTACAGAACGCCATATTCAGTTTCAGACCAGTTATCCAAGAATGAGTTCAACGGTCACAACCCCATCTTACTCTTTTACCCGAACGAGGGCCAGATGGCAAATTTCCCATGATGGGAGGGACACAGTTATGTGACTAATGATCTTGCGCAGATTACTAGTCTTGATGTAACAGCGAGAAATGAAGGAAAATCCAATCACTGATAAGAAAGTGAACGGTAATTAATCCAGGTAGTCATTTCGACTATTTGTCCAAATTTTTGCCTAACAGGGCCACACACAGAGCGCGTTTATATGCACTCAAGGGAAATATTACCATAAAAAAGGCCATTCAAACTTAATACCACGACAAAAATACACTGCCCGTTTTTTTAAAAACGGGTTGAAGCAGCGAGTCCACTCCTATTGTGGACATAATAACATCCAATTGACGGTAAGCGTGATTCACTAACAGACACGCGGACTCTCTTGTTGCGTCTTACTTAAACAATAATGATGCACCTGTTTTTTGCTATGATAAAAACAGGGCTTTTTCTATATTTCGGCCAACAAAAAAAAATGAAAACTGGCAATTCAAATGACCGAAGGTTTTACATGAGTAACGCATTCTGAGTGGTTTCGGTCTACGCAGGCCCTGGTGTATGGTTGGATGAGAAAGAAACCGTCACAGACAACCGTCGTCCACAATAATGCAACACTTAATCGTGCTACAAAATCATCGGAACATTCGACTATTTTGAGCAAGGGCACCATCAGTAGGACGTGGAGTACTGTCGCGTGGGCATGCTGTCTGCAACTCAGAACCCATTCATGGACTGCACAGCTGCCCCAACGCTGACAGTATACTAGATGACATCAGCTCTCAGCAAAAAATAGCTTAGCAAACAAAACAACGGAACGAGTGGAAGGCTCAATTATCAGAGTAAAATCAACAGTGCCACTACAAAAAAATTATGTCGATAAAAAAATCGTTCAGCTGTAGCACCCTTGCGGTGCCTGCCATCCCGTCAGAAGGAAGTACAAGGGCATGTCGCCCAGGCCTATACGGAGGAAGTCGAGAAACAGAGGTCGGGTTCGAACCACGGACCTTTTGGTCGGTAAATTCGTGCTCTAACCACTGAGTCATGTATTGGTCGCATCGAAGCGTAATCATATCGAATACAAGTAGGTTCCTGTGCCGTACTGATTTTGAGTTAAACACATTCGGTTGTTCCATTTTTCTATCGCTTTCATCCGCTTAATTGAATACTCCAATCAAATTCGCCTAGGGTTTGTGATTCTGGACCTTGAATAAATTTTCGGCTTCTAACAGTTCTGAATTCAGGAAAATCTTAGCTTTTGATGGACTGTTTACTTACTGCATGGGACGACCCCCTACACAACGGGCATCCAGAACATGTACCATAAAATGTGAGCCCGGTCGGTTGCACGAGATGCCCGTTTATCTTCTTATGCCCTAGCGAGGCAATTCCTAATTGCCGAGATCCTAGCCACTATTCTAGGCTCCAGTGTATCGGCCGGATTATTGGCTAACACGTATGTCGTCAGATTGACACTGAAAACTATGCTGACTCATCAGTACATAGGCGTGCGACACAAACCGCGAGGAGCATCGACTACTGTTTCATCCCCTAAAATACCAGTCATGGATAAAAATAGCATTTGGAGGTCAAGCCAACCAGGAGCTGTTAACAATAACACACTCACACCAGTGTTGGATCCAGGCTCTTTTGTTTTCTTTGTTTTACGATCGGTTTTCGGCCAACTCTTCTTTACAAGAATCGGAAGTGATGTCAGAATAAACTATCAAGTCCGTATTGTTGTTTTGTCCTTCACTGTGTACAACACAATCGTCAAAATCCTCTTGAGGATGCAGTGTCTGACCACCAAACTAACACGTCAGCACCACATGACTTATCGAAAACTGTTGTTGGCACCTATGGCCGCAGAGGATACCAGACACTCGGTTTTCGGTCTTCTTTACAAGAATCGGAAGTGATGTCAGAATAAACTATCAAGTCCGTATTGTTGTTTTGTCCTTCACTGTGTACAACACAATCGTCAAAATCCTCTTGAGGATGCAGTGTCTGACCACCAAACTAACACGTCAGCACCACAAGTGACTTATCGAAAACCGTTGTTGGTACCTATGGCCGCAGAGGATACCAGACACTGGCTACCAATACCAGATGGAGATTCTAATTGTTTCTGCCTGAATCAGAAACAATGGGGATTGGGGATACTATCGTCAAACGCTTCGCGTAACCCGGTGGTTATCTTCATCACTTAGTGATGAAGACATGTGATATCGACTTCAATTACTTGTGTTTGGTCATTGACGAAATCCCTGTCTATTCCTACCTATGTATTGAATTCCTGTCGATTCTGGTGCGGACATATGCGACTCCGGTAAAATTCCACCCAAGTCCACCTACTGCTTAAGATTATGATACTTTTACATTGGTTGTCACGAAAAGGATGCGAACATGCACGTGAAGACGTCACTGGACCTCCACATGTCTAAAAGAGAGGGTGATATAGGCATTCCCCCTAGCCTGTGAGATCGCGTCATCTTGCCTGGATTGATCAACTCGTGGTTGCAAGGATTCATCCGAGATATCACTCAGACATCCAAGGAACTCATAAGAATCGGGATTCCCGACAGAGTTTAATGATAATAGAGCCACTCTCATAGGAGAAGGACCCTCATCGATACAAGGGCGTGTTTCGTTCCATTAAAATACATTTGCAGAAGCGGATGGTCAGGAGTTCAGGTAATCAAACCAAGGGATAACGCATTTGTTTCATCTGTACAATATTTTTCTATTTACACAGTAGTAGCAATTCATTAAAAAGCGAGCTTCTTTATCATGAGATACAAATGTTTGCCAACGCGAAATCCCTGTAAATTGCTTGCATCTCCCGTTAGTTGCATCAGTAGACCACCGAACGAAACATAACAGGATAGTCGACTCGCATCAACTCCGCTGTCGTGTGCCTCTATCCTGTAAATCTTTCCGTAACAAACGTAGTCGAACTCTGCCATCTTGCTGTTGGCTAGACGCTCATCGGTTTCTTCAGCGGCATCATCTTCATCGTCATCTTCAGCATCCGTTATCATATCATTGAGAAGATTCTTCGTCAGTACCATCCGAAACTTGTCTCCTTTGACCAATCGGTAAATCAATGCATGAATGTCCAGGATTAAGCCCATTTTAAAAGATTCGCTCTCACAAAATAGACGGGAAACTTTGTCAAACTTCTTTCCATCCTTGTCCACATCTTTCACGTCGAAAATATCCTCCAAAAGTGCAGACATGAGAATGCTGACAAAACGTCCGATTCCGGGCCACCTGTTAAGAACGGACGGTGAGGTAAGTTATGAAGAAGTGGACTAACTAAGTAATAATGGACAGTAAGTTTGGAAAAACATAGTGTCGAACAAAATTAGTAATGTTCCCTAAATCCTACTGTTGAACTGCGGCGTTGCACACTGTTGTTAGTATTATGTTCGGTTTTGTTTGTAAAGGCAAAAGGATCGCAGACCTATATGTGCACGATCTCCGCTGGCTTCTGCACCCTGTCACTCAGTGGTTCTAACTATTCTTGTACACTCAACGCCTTTTGGCTCCCATCTAGGAGCACGCGGAATACACTTTGACTAGACTTGTTGTCAAGTTAATCAATCCCAATGAAAATGACATTTAGTACGTTATACTACCCTTTAGCTCTCATAGATGAACGAGAATAAAGCCAGGGTAAGATTGACACACCACAGTATGCGCCCTAACCGGCGTAAACGATGAAGCGGAAGTAAATATCCTAGTTTGGAGTTATTAGAACCGACTACTCCGTGATACCCCTTGTAATTGGGTGCGCCGTGTTCCTGCCAAAAAACGGACGAAATATTAAACACAGTTAGTCCTCGATATCTTCAATATGAAGCAGTTAGACTCCTCGCTCATAGGGCGATCGCGCTTTGCAGTGAGTAGTTTCAAGGTACGAGCCCCGGTACCTCCATCAGAGGCACTGTAGCTACCTTAGCAGACGTAACCCAGTCTTGACAGCCTACATTCCTTACCAATGTCGATCGCCAAGCTGCTCGCAAAATGTCGTACCAATTCAGTTTATCGCCCAACACAATGATATTGCTGGACAGTATAAAGTTCGTTTGTGGGCTCCTGGAGAAAGTTCAGCACCATTTAATGCGCACTCCCAAAGGTCTTATCGAGGCCACTGTTAACGATAAAACGGAGTGAACTGGGAGAGTGGACGTCCCTAGCGCATTACGATGGCGACTTGTCTGTACGCTCCATTCTGTCTTGAAGGTTTGTGATAGGGTGATTCGGCGAGTGTTTCACGTCTTTCGCGACAACTCCTATAAGCGCTTAAATTAACGTGTCTCCATAGATGTTGCTTCCAAATAGTGGAAAGCAGCAGGAGCCATAAGTATAAGGCAATAAACTAGAGGGTCTCTTGGTGAGTAGTGTAATGAAAAATCGCTCAGCTGTAGCACTATTTCGGTGCCTAACTGCCATCCCACCAGAAGGAAGCACGAGGGTTGGGATACTGCCAGGTTGCTCAATCCTGGGCAGCGGAGGTCGAGAGGCAGAGGTCGGGTTTGAACCACGGACCTTCCGGTCAGTACATTCGCACTCTGATCACTGAGCCATGCGTGATCATCGATTCGCCCGACTGATGTTACCATTTCCTTTGGAGCCTGACTCTTGGTGATGTGTTCACTTCATTGACTGCAGATGACAATCTGTCTGGGTTTGAGGCTACTTTTTCTCCTGCAAGATGTTCTCTGTTGATGTTAACTAGAGTCTTTGAAGTCGCAGCCGGTTGAATTGTGGCTGGAAGCGTTCTGGTCACCGCCCAATGCTGCTTGATTCGTGAGTCGCCTCCACTTGCGTGTTTCATCCATCAC